GGGAGCCAGTGGCAGCGGGAAGGTGGAAGTATTGGGCCCCCACCTGCTGCCCAGAAGCCTGGGGGGTAAGTCAGAGCTTTCAGCTGGAGGTGAGTTGCCAGGCCACAGTCCCCTCCCACACCCTATCCGCCTCAGGCTAAACTCCAGGTGGATGGCCTGAGTGGGCAGGACTGGGTATCCACCCAGGCTCTAGCACTCCCTTCCCCTAGAGGGGAAATTGGCTTAGGCACACCTGACCTCTTTCCCTAGGGAGTTCACAGACAATCTTCTGGATCCGCCCCCCTGCCCCAGTAAACAGATACTTTTGGTTTTCCCAACTAAGCATGGTGAGGCATACCTAATATCCCACCTCCTCAGGAGGCTGAGGCAGAGGATCACAAGTTTGAGGCCAGCCTCAGCAATTTAGCAAGATCCTAAACAATTTAAAAGGGCCAGGGATGTAGCTCAATAGTTAAGTGCTCTGGGTTCAATCCTCAGTACAAAAAAAAAAAAAAAAAAAAAAACGTCTGGGGATATAGCTCAGTGGTAGAACACCCCTGGATTTCATCCCCAGTGCTACAAAATAATAATTCATTTCATGCAAATGGGCATCATTTTGGTGATGGCACGGCTTGATATTGCCAAATTCATGGCTTGCTGAGAATCTTCCATCCCATAGTACAGGCTTTGAGCTGTTTTTGTTTGTTTTGGTACCTGGGATTGAACCCAGGGGCACTTAACCACTCAGCCATATCCCCAATCCATTTTTTGTTTTATTTTGAGAAAGGGTCTGGCTAAGTCCATAGGGCCATGTTAAGTTGCTCAGAATGGCCTCAGATTTGCAATTCTCCAGTCTCAGCCTCCTGGAGTGGCTGGGATTACAGGCCTGCACCACCACACTTGGCTTCATCCCTGCCACTTGCTATATGATCTTGGGCAAATTACCCTGTCCTGCTTTAGTTTCCTCCTCTGTAAAATGGTGACCGTGAGGAAATTTCCTGTTAGCACAGGATGAGGACTAAATGAATTCATACATTGGAAACATCCAATCTGTCCTAGCCCGTGTTCTTATGCTTTTATTTATTTATTTTGGGCTGGGGATTGAACCCAGGGCCTTGTGCACGTGAGGCAAGCACTCTACCAACTGAGCTACATCCCCAGCCCTTTATGCTTGTTTTTCGTTGTTTGTGGTGCTGGGATCCAGCCCAGGGCCTCCAGCATGCTAGGTGAGTGATCTACCGCTGAGCTATCCTCCAGGCCTCTTCTGCTTGTCTTAATTCCTGGGAGAGTGATAGTGTTACCACTACTCATTGGAAAGTCATCACTCAGGTGACTTGCACGTGTCAAATGTTGAGTTCTCAGAAGCTGACATTGCCTGGACATTTGGTGGCAGGCAGGGTGTGCCACTGTGACTCAGGAAAGTTCCTAACCTCTCAGTGCCTCTATTCCTCATCTGTAAGATAGGATTTGGTGTCTGCCTCACTGGGGATGTGCAAGGACAGGGTGGGATGCTCTCCTGTGTTCTCCCAGTCGTCCTGGGAGACAGGGACTGCCCCCATTTCACAGAGAAATACACCAAGACCCCAACGGGCTCAAGGTCCCGGAGCAGGAACATGGTCCTGGCTGGACCCACAGAATTACTGATCCCTGCTCCACTGCCTGTGTCCCATAGAAATGAAAAGCAGGCAGGCCCATTTCTTAAGAATTTTTTTTTTGTTGTTATAGATGGACACAATACCTTTATTTTATTTTTATGAGGTGCTGAGGATGGAACCCAGTGCCTTCCACATGCAAGGCAAGCACTTCTACAGCTGAGCCATAACTCAAGCCCCAGAGAGGCCCATTTTTTATCAGGAGTGTTTCTGTTCTTGGCACTCCAGCCCCATCCCAGTTGATTCCTGATTTAGCTACTTCCATCTGGCTCTTCTGAGGGTTTGAGGTACCCTTGCCTGACCTCAGGGTGGCTCTTTTTGGTTCCCATCCTCTTCTAAGTGGGGGGGTCTGTCTGGAGAGGGGAGATGTTCTGTTTGATACACCCCAGCTTCCACACCTGGCCTAAATCTTCCCTCCTGCAAAGAATTCCTGACCGACATCCTTATCTGTGAATGCCAAGTGTGTGCCCCAGGATGTCTTAGCTCTGGGTTTCTGCTCCTGGAAGTCCTAGGTCTTGGTGTGAGCAGCAAGGTATAGTTGGCAGGAGTCAAGAGTGGCACACGGTACCCAGATCAGACCTCACAACAGAGATCCTTCTGAATATACTGACCTACAGTGCTGGCCATTCACAGAGCATCTCCACACTCCTTATTAGGTGTGACTCTTACACCTGCTGGGAGTAAAGGCTAGGATTAGGCCCTCGTGAAGGTGAGGAAGTTGTTTCAGAGTTAAAGATGGTTGGACAGGGAATGAGGTCCATCTCAGTGGACCCTGGATTCTATCAAACCTAGGGACTTCGAGCCTCAGGGCTTATAAGTCTTCTCTAAGCCTCAGTCATCTCATCCGTAACGCGGAAACAGTGGTAGTACTCAACTCTCAGGGTGGTTAGGAAGATAAGGAGGGAATTAATGCATAGTAAGTGTTCCATAAACGTCACATCAAAAAAGTCAACAAACAGCCCAGCATAATGGTGCATGCCTATAACCCCAGCGGTTTGGGAGGCTGAAGCAGGAGGATCTGGAGTTCTAAACCAGCCTCAATGGCGAGATGCTAAGCAACTCAGTGAGGCCCTGTCTCTACATAAACTACAAAATAGGGCTGGGGATACGGCTCAGTAGTCGAGTGTCCCTCCCTGAGTTCAATCCCCAGTACCAAAACAGAAAAAGAAAAGTCAACAGTTCTGGACATTTTCTTCAAAGCAGGTGTGATGAAGGATACATCAGTGTTGCTGCCAGGTTCTCATCCTCTGGAGACCCCTGCAGATCTTGTGCAGGACGCCTCCCTAATCCTAGTAATTACAACCACTGCCTCTTTAGTTCCAAGCACAGTGTAAAATCATTTATTTAATGGGCTAAAAGGCCTCGACCCTTATTGGCACTTAGCAAAGATGTGCGGGTTTCGTGAGGCCTTAACTCGATTTCCCACAAAAGCCCCCGAGCTTCCTTCCATTTACACTGGAGGGTTTCGCAGCTAGGGGGACGCAGAGCAGCAGAGATTTACTTCGCCCCAACCCGCTAACCCTTCTGCAGGCGCTGGGGCTACGGAGACCCGGAGTCGCCACAGCTCGTACCCCGCAGATACCGATTTGGATGAAGGGATGGAAGAGGAGCCCAGCCCCTTCCGCGGCCGCTCGCGCTCGGCGCCCCCCAATCTCTGGGCTGCACAGCGCTACGGCCGCGAGCTCCGGAGGATGAGCGACGAATTCGAGGGCTCCTTTAAGGTGAGCGCTGGCCCTGCGGCATGCGGCAAGCGTTGCCCTGTAGTTCGAACCGCCTGTCCCCACCAGGTCCTTCCACGTCTCAAGGCATGCTGGGACTTGTAGTCCCGGACCGCCTTCTGTCCCCGGGCATGCTGGGACCTGTAGTCCCGGATCACCTATTACCCGCCAGGTCCTGTCGTATCCCGGGGCAGTTGGGACCTGTAGTCCCGGACCGCCTCCTACCCGCAAGTTCCTTCCGCGTCCTAAATCATTGGACCGCCTCTTTCGGGGATCAAGGCTCTTGGGATATTTCTTCAATTTGGGGGGGAGGGGTACTGGGAATTGAATCCAGGGACCCTTGACCATCAAGGTACATCCCCAGTGCCCCCCGTTTTTTGAGGCACTATCTGGCTAAATGGCTGAGTCTGGTCTCCAACTTTCAATCCTCTGCCTTAGCCTCCCTGTAATTCCTCTCTGGGATTACAGGCGTGCCCCATCGCGTGGGGCACACGTCAATTCTTGAATTGCGGTCCCATCTTCTAGGTGCTAGATATTTGGCTCTTCCACTTAGATCCCAAAGCATTTTCCCAGTCCCCATTCCTGAGGGCCTAAGCGTCCTCTGTGGCTGGCTCCCTGACCATTCGGTACAGGACATGCTGGAGGCCGTGGTCTTTTACATCTCCCCGGATCTCCTCTACACTGGGTTCCGGAAATGGAGGTACTTGATTCGATCCGCCTGGGTAAGCCGATTAATTTAATCCTTTTCCTCCTCCCACCCCAAGGGACTTCCTCGCCCGAGGAGCGCAGGCACAGCGTCGCAGATGCGGCAAAGCTCCAGCTGGACGCGCTTCATCCAGTCCTGGTGGGATCGGAACTTGGGGAGGCGAGGCTCCGCCCCCTCCCAGTGACCGTCCCCACATCCCGAACTCCACCGGTTCCTGTCGCCGTTGGCGACCATCTTGGGTGTGGGCGGAAGTCTCCGCAGGCCTGTGCAGAGGGGACCCTTCTGTCCCTTGGCTGGGAGGCGCATGGGAGCGCAGAGGGTAGGTCCACGCAAGTTTTGAAGGTTTTCCGCCCACGGCTGGTCGCCCCACGGCGCTGGGCAGCCCCGCCCAAGCTGCGAGCCGGGATTTAACCCTCATTTCTTTGCCAAGGCCCTCTCCTCCGCCAGGAAGCTGTGGGCCCAGCGACCTACATGCTAATAAAAGTCACACCTGTGCCGCCGCGTCGCCTCTGTACGTCGCTTGGGGTTGGACCAGGATGGTTCTATCATTGACGTTTAAAAAAATGCCCCCAGCTTACACATGCAGGAAACAGGCTCTTTTGGGTGACATCCAGGGACAAATACAGGGAAGGGGTCAAGGCAGTAAGTAGATCCACCTCGGGGTGGGGCCACTGGGCCCCAAAGACTGCCAGGCGCTTATCTCTAGTATGGTAATTGGGAACCAAGGCTCGGCTGCCACTGGAATTCCGCGCTCTGTAAACCATGCCATGGCTCCCCAGAGAGGGGTCATTTGTTCCTATTTGGGTCAGTACTTTCGAGCAGCTACTGTGGGCCGGCCTAAGGCCAGCGCTGCTTGGGGACCTGGCAGAGTGCTCAGGGCAGGGGCGGCGCAATCACTAGGGAACCAAGAAGCTTCGCATGGAGACCTGGCGCAGGGCTAAGGGCTCTGTTCCAAAAGATTTATTGGCGCCCCTGTAGTCCAGGCCAGTGCTTTGTGCTGGGTACACAGATGAACTTCTCCACAGCCTGGCTCCCAGAGGCTTCCAGAACCAGAGAGGGGTCAGCCTCCTCTGGCAGGACAGTCAGGGAGGTCTGCCAGGAGGGGGTGAGCTGAAGTTGGAACTGTCATTGCAGAGAAGAGGATGAGGGGACCCAGGAAAGATGGGGTAGCAGTAGAGGCCAGGCTTCTGAGGGGCTCAGTAGCACACAGGGTAGTTTTGGGGACTCAGGACCCACATGGAGTGTTTGGGTAAGTAAAGGCTTGCCAGCCGGGTGGGCGGGGGAAAAGGGAGCAGGCTGACTGTTATGGGGCCAGGATGGGCATACAGGAGAACTGGCAGACTGGGGGGACAGGACAAGCTCTGACAGCAGGAGGAGGGCCACTTAGGCAATGGTATCCACCTTGAGGAAGGGCCCAGGGCACAGGTCCCAGCCCTGGGGAGGCCCTACTTCAGCTGCCTGGTTTCTCTGGCCTCCCCACCCCATCTGTTTGCAGGAGGCTGCAGCAAAAACAAAGCAAAGAAAACACTCAATTGGCAGGAGATAAGCCCAGATAAGAGGCTGCCTTCCTCTGGAGGAGGGAGCAGCCAGCTCGGGAAGCGCCAGGAAGCTGGGAGAGGCCTTGAAGAGGTGCCAGCCTGGCCTTGCTTTGGAGCCGGCCTGGCCAGGCCCTCACGCCCTCACACCCTCGCTGTGGGGTCTCTGCTGCTCCTTGGTGGTCAGAGGCATGGAGCAGGTCTTCTAGGCTAGCCGAAGACAGTCTGCCACAGAGGGTCTGGGCCCTCCCTGCCTCCAGGTCAGGACATCTCCATTTAGTTGTGGCCTGGCACCACCTGGCTTCCGCTCAGGGCCTCAGTTTCTTCATCTGTAAAACAGGCAGAACATCTTCCTCACAGGGATGAGGGGGTCACATGTTGTCCCAGTCCCTACAATGTCTGGGACTGTCAGTTTCCCATCTCCAGGGGTCAGAGACAGGCCCCTGACTGGCTTACTTATGAAAGCCCAGTTCCACCAGGCTATCCACCACCACCCCCTGAACTGCCTGCATGGGACCCCAGAGCCACTCAGTAGAAGGTGGTGGGAGCTTGGATCATATCAGGCAACAGGAAGGGGGCAGGGAAGGCTTCCTGAAGGAGCCTGTGCCTCTGAGAAGGGAGGACAGGGAGAGCTGGGACACAAGCCCAGGGGTCACAGGGCACAGAGGCAGGAAGGTCTGGGGGAAACCAGAGCCTCCTGTGGCATTGAGGAAGGTCACTGCAAAGCAGCCAAGTTCAAGCCCACCAGCTTTTGACGGGGGCCTGACCTTGACCCCACAGACGACTCTAGAAGAGGAAAGCTGGGACCCAAGGGAAGTGCAGGGCTGGACCCCGGCCTGGAGTCACCACGCCGCACACGGGCTCCCCGAAATCCACTTTTATTCATGTAAAAAAATCCCCAAAGCATAGAGATTGTGACCCCTGCTTCCCAGAGCTCCGTGTGGCCCCTGGGAAGTGAGGGAAGGACGCCCATCTGGGTGTGGGTGTCATGGGGGCAAGGCCCAGCCCAGCCCAGCCCCTTCCCTAGGACTGAGGTTAGGAAGGAGGGGCTGGGGGTTAATGGGGCCCCAGGAAGATGAAAGGAGTTAGTGTGGGGCACCTGCCCCAGGTTTAAAAAAATATAATTTCTAAAGATAAAAAGTTAAAAAAAAAAAAAAGCATTAGTGTCTTCACCTCCTGCCCTCTGCCCAGCGCCCACCCTGGCCCTGTGGCCACCTCTTGCACGGCCAGGTCAGAGCTGCGTGTTCTCCTCCTGGCTCTCCGAGTCAACACCAGACAGGTGCCCACTGCTCCCGGGTGCATGGCCATTGCTGGCACAGGCCACCAGGGGCCCGTCCCTTAGCCCCTCTGGTGTCTCTCCCAGCAGGCTCCGTCGGATCTCCTGAGGCAGCCTCGCCCGCTGCTCCTGACACTCCTGGGTCAGCTGGGCCAGCAACTACAGGAAGACGGGTGTCACAGGGTGGCCAGGCCACCAAGCATCTGCCCACCAGCTTCCTTTAGGGCCTTACCTTGGGCTCCTCTTCTGCTAGTTGCTGCAGCACCTGCTGCTGCCCAGCCACTAGGCGGTCATGTCGCTGCTTCTGGGCCTCCTCCAGCTGTGAGGGTGGGCAAGGGCTCAGCTGAGGGACCTTGAGGGAGGTCAGGGTCCTGGGGCTCAGGCTGGGCATGACCTACAGGGGGCTCCAAAGCCACTGGGCACTGGTGCAGACAGTTGTCCCTGGATATGAAGCAGGCACCAGGGGGCTGTTGGGACCCTGGAGGAAGGTCCCATCAGCTTTTGGAGGGCAGCGTGCCATCAGGCCAGACACCAAGGAGATGGGCTTCTTTTTTTCTTTTGGTACCGGGGATTGAACCTAGGGACACTTCACTGAGCCACATCCCCAGTCCTTTTTATTTTTTCATCTCACTCAGTTGCTTGGAACCTCTCTAAGTTGCTGAGACTGGCTTTGAACTCCTGATCCTCCTGCCTCAGTCTCCTGAGGCGCGGGGATAACACGCACTCCAGCGCCACGGCGCCCGGCTAGGAGAGGGATTTCTGATGAATGAAGGATTAGGGGGAGGTTAGAGTGGCACTCACCCGACGGATGGAGTTGACGGACTCGGTGATGTGCCGACGGTTAATCTCCGTCAGTTCCCTGTGAGGAGGGAGGTGGGATGGGCTCAGGGCCTGGGCACTGTGCTGCCTGCCCGGGCACCCGACTCCTGGCCCCAGCACTCTTACACTTCTTTCTTATGTTTCTCTCTTGTCTTGGCCTCAGAGATGCTGTTGTGGCGCTTCCTGTCCAGGATCTTCTGCAGCTCCTTCTTCTCCCTGGAGAAGCCGGTAGTGGAAGGGGAAGGTTGGTGGCAGGGTCCTGGTCTGGTCCTCATCTGGGCCAGAAGTCCCTGCCACACCCACACGAGGGTCTCCGCCTTACCTCTCGTTCATCTCCTTCAGCCTTTTGAACTGAGTTGTGTGCACATCCAGGAGGATCTCCCTGAGCCGCTGCTGAGCCTGGAGACACAGCAGCCAATGAGTGCCACAGGCCAACACCAGGTTAACCCAAGAGGCAGGCTCTCCCTGGCCACCACATGCCCCCTCACCTGTCTCAGGTGCTCTAGCCTCCGCTCAGCCTCTATGTCCGCCTGGGCCTCCCTCAGCTCCAGCAAGCTTTGCACCTGTCTGTTCTGGAACTCTCGATACCTCTTAGCCTCCTCCTCCTCCTTCATGTCCTCCACGTCGGCGGCCGCACCCCTGTAGGGAGAACCTTCTGGGTGATGCTGAGTCCACCACACGGGAGGGCAGTGGGGACAGCGCATGTGGCAGCAGCAACGGCAGACACCACCCAGGAGGAGTGGTGTGTGGCAAATAATCCTCAGAGGGACATCAACAGAGACGTCACCCCCAGGAGAAGGAATCTGGGCCTGGTGTGGGAAGCTTCGGGTCCCGTCATACGGGACTCCTGTGGGGTCGGGGCCCCTCGCTCCGCACGCCCACCCATCATGGAAACCATGTGCACACAAGGCCCGGCTCTCCTGCCAGGGGGCACGGCTCAGGTGGCAGAGTCTGTGGGAGACTCATGGGATCAGGTGGGTGCTGGCACCTGCTTTCAGCCCGGGCCTGGGCCAGAGCATCGAGCAGGCGGCGGGTGAGGGCCACGGCCTTGCGCTGATGCTTCTTGTGCAGCTCCCGCAGGTCCCGCTCCTGCCGGCTCCGGAGCTTCACCAGAGCCTTGTGGCTTCGGAGCTCCTCCAGCGGAGTGGGGGCCACCTCTGGGAACCAGAGTGCAAGTGGGCAGGGTGGTGGAGGGGCTGGGCTGGGCAGTGCCCTCCAGGTGGCCCCGCACCCAAGGCGCTCCTCCCTACCTGAGAGGATGCTGGCAATGAGATCGTCCCGCTGCCCTGGAGAGGAGAGGCCTCCGTGAGAGGCTGCAGGGAGGGGGCGGGGCCTCCCCTCAGCTCACCCCTGGCCCGCGTTGCCCCTTACCTGGGCTGCTGAGGGAGGTGCTGGTGGGGGAGGTGGCAGGGCCTGGGGTCCAGCGAGGGGGAGTCTCCAGTGGGCTGGGTGTGGGGTTTGAGGATGGCTGGGCCCCTGGCTGCTGAGACTGGGTCTCCTGGCATGTCTCTGGGCCAGCCTGAGCCTGGGGGTGGAGGAAGAGGACACTGTTTCCAGAAAGGCTGTTCTCTCCAAGCCCTTCCATGCTCAGTCTCCAGGCCCCCGACCCTGCCAGCTCCCAGCCCTTCTGGCTGCTCAACTTCTGGTCTGTTTGCCGATGAGAATAAAGTGGACCAAGCAAACCCCTCCAAGCCCATCACCCTAGGGCGTAAGACTGGGAGGTGCCCAGCCCCTTGCCTGTGCTCAGGAACTCCCAGATGGTTCTGGAAAGGCCTGGCCCAGCTCCAAGAATCCTTGCTCTCTGGATCCCTCCACCCTGGCCCAGTCCCTCGCCCTCACTGCTCAGCTCCTGATTAAATCAACGAAGGAAATGACCGCAGAGCGGGCACCAGTCTCTCCTGCTAACAGCTCTGCCAAGGCCTAATTGCAGTCATCTCTTCCCACCGCCGAAGGTCCCTGGGGAATGGCTCTGGGTGTGCGGCTAAACCTCTGCACCCGACCCCTCCTCAGAGAAGCCACCACCTCCTCCATGCTCACAGGCCCCATGTTCTTAAGGGCTCTGTGGCCTCAAAACTTCCCTGGTGAATTAGCCAGGAACTCTTTTTTTTTTTTTTGCACAGATGTGATTTACCATTAAGCTACGTCCCCAGACTTTTTTATTTTTTGGGACTGGGTCTCATTAGATTGCTGAGGCTGGCCTCAAACTTGTGATCCTCCTGCCTTAGCCTCCTGGGTCACTGAGAACAGGAGAATTTCTAGTCCAGTCTGATTCAAAGGCCTCTTGGATGTTTCTATCTCCTAAGATCCCACCACTGGGCATGGGGTACTACTTTGTGGCCGAGCGCTTGCCCTGGGTTCCATCCCCAGCACCAGAATAAAACACAGTGGAGAGCTGGGGGTTGCAGGGACCGCTCCAGCAGGGCCATGCCCAGAGGTCAGCCATAGCCAGCCCACCTGCACCCACAACCACACCCACAGCAACTGTGTGCATTGGTCCCAGGGTCAAGGGGAGCCTGAGCCCTGCCCACCTCCCAGCCTGCTCCCACCGCCAGCAGGCTCACCTCGCTCTCCCCAATGAGAGCGGCCAGCTGCTTGGCCCGCTGGTCCATCAGGCTGACATGCTTAATGGGGTTGATCAGAGCCTCTGCATAGTCTGGGGAGGCAGAAGGCGAGGCTCTCAGATGGTCACACCCACCCACCAGCTCTGGTCACAGCAGGGTGGGAACCTACCCTCAGGGCTGTTGTCCCCACTCCACGCTGCCCCTCTGCCCCCAGCTCACCCTGGTGGTCATCAGGGATGTAGTCAGAGGCCTCCGTGTAGATGAGCAGGGCTGGCAGGCACAGTGGCTGGTTGGCCTCGTTCCGCAGGCAGACGTAGTGGTACCCTGGGGGACAGAAGGGCGAGTCAGCGGGGTCTGGGCAGGTCCCCCACATACTGCACCCGTCCTGCCCAAACCCGCCACGGCTCACCTGAGCGGATGGCAGAGACAGGCAGAATCCGGTGCCCCACGAATCTGCCACCCTCCTCAAAGGCAGCAATGCGAAGCGATGCCAGCGTGGGCAGCACCACCTGAGGGACAGACTTGGCTGAGCCATGGGGCAGAGCACGAGCCACGGGGCCACCACACCAGTCACTAAGGCCTGACGCCCAGAGCAGGTCCCGATACAAGCTGACCAACCTGACCGCACATCTCCATGGCCTGGCCCCATGGATGACTGGGCCCTCAGGGCCCTGAACCCAGAGTACAGGCAGACAGACCCCCTCAGGCCACCGCAGGACAGGCCAGGTCATCAACCGCCCAGAACTACAGTGAGCTCCAGTCCAGCATGGCGTCTGCCTGTCTCTGCCTTCCCCAGATCCTGTGAGAACGTGGAGATCGGGGACTGAGCGGGGTGGGTCCTGAGCAAGAGCTTCCCGCCTTGGGCAGGCTGTGGGACCTCCTGCTGGTCCTTGCTCTCTGTCTCACCTTTCTGTCACCAAGAGGTAGGCAGAAGACCCAAGCCCGATTCTGGACATGCAGGGCCTGGGAGGTATCAGGACCCCTCCCCCATGTTCCAACCCTCACTGGCCACCTGTGAGCCTGGTCCTGCTCCAGAGACGGAAATAACCCTAACCCTCCCCTTCCTACCCTCACCCGCCCCCCCAGAGCCAGGGTGGGTCAGGCGTGCTCACCTTGGGGAAGTCAAAGGGCTCCTCATCCCACACGGGGTTGAACGAGTTCCCCTGAGATGTCCTTGTGCGGTACTTGCGCCGTGTGTCAACGGGGAGACCGAACATATCCACCTCCACGTAGATGCCCACCTTCCTGTCAGAGAGGAACTGCCCCGAGATCACCTGGGGTGGGTGGGCCAAGAGGGTGGGTGAGGCGGTGGCTGAGCATCCTGCCCCTCAACACCCACGGCCCAAGCCCTCTGCTGCCCCACCTTGACCCGCAAGGCATTGGCCACAATGCCATCCACGATGACCTCAGTGAAGGGGTCAAAGGACTTGTCCGGCCGCCGCATGAACTCAGGCTTGAGCAGGTACCCGCTGCGCCCATTGTACTCAAATACACCTGCATTGAGCTGCATTGGCACATCTGGGTGACATGGACAGCGGTCAGTCAGCAGGCTGAATGAGGTCAGGAGTCAGGCAGGATAATGGTCATTGGGAGTAAGTGAAGTCCAAGGCCCAGGGCCAGGGCCAGGGCCAGGGGTGGGATCAAACGGTATCACAGGGTCCAAATTCAGACAGAAAGGGATCTAGGGTCAGACAAGGTCTGGGTTGGGGTTAGACAGGGTAAGCAGTCCTTTCAGGCAAGATGCGCCTGGCCCTGGGGCACCATGGTATAGGGTCAAGGCAGAGCAGGGCTCACCCAGGGTCTGGAAGTTGAGAGCGACGAGCTGGCAGCCCACATTCCAGAAGAGCTGGGGCATGTAGTTGGAGGAGTCCACGCGGGTGCCCTTGGGGTAGATGCGGCTGAGCTGCTGCTTGTTGTATCTGAGGTTGGCGGTCAGGGACGCAGCGGGTACTGGTGCCCAACCCCTGTCAGCCTCCCCCTCCTGCCCTGAGCCTGCACTCCTGCAAGTCCCCCACCCAACCCTGGTGGAGGTGGGCTCATGCTACCCTTCTGGCCTCCACTGCTCAGCCTAGCCAGGCCCCCAGATGGTCCAGACCCGCCCAGCCCAGGTGCTGCTGGGCCAGGACCCTGTGTGGGGCTTAGGCAGAGTAGCTGCGAGCATCACCCCAGCCCACCACGAGGCCCTGGAGGATACTCCACGAACTCCATGGGGCTCTTGGTCAGCTGCTCCATGGCCTTGGTCTCCACAAAGGAGGACATCTCAAAGCACTTGTTCCTTTCTGGGGGCCGGCAGAGGGAGGGTGTCAGCCTGGCAGGGCCTGGTGGGAACAGCTCCTACCCACCACCAGCCCCACTCACTTCGAGCAGCCTCAAAGGACTTGAACTTGACAGGCTCGATGTAGTTGACCAGCGTCGACATCTCCTCGGTGGCATTGACCTCACTGCTGGCCGTGCCCTGCAAACCCAAGCCCAGTTCAACAGTGCAAGTCCCTGCTTGCCTCCAAAGGAGGAGGCGCTGACCCTGCCCCCACTGCTGCCTCGCAAGCAGCTTTCCCAAGGGCCATAATGCCCCCACCCCAGCCACGTCTTCTGACAGTCCAGGGCCTCTTCCAGGCCTGGGCACCATGCCTGGGATCCCGCTCCTCCACAACAGTCCCCCATTCCTCCTCTTCTCCTGACCCCCGGAAGCTGGAACCCCAGTTGAGCATGTGAACCACCAATCTCCATTCCTAGGCACTTTCCAACACTACCTCGCAAACAGACAGCTCTGCCCGCACCACCCCCACTCTGGGCCCGTCTCCAATATGATCTCCCCAACAGCCAGACTGACTCTCACCTCCACTGCTCATGCTCCTCATGACACTTTCTCACCCTGCACTGGCCCCTCCTGAACTAAAGCCCAGCCCAGGGCTTTGCATGTACTGTTCCCACATCCTGAGGTCTGCCCACCCCAACCTCCCGCCTCCGGTCAGACTCCCCTTCCCCACAATCCCACACCGACCGCATCTCACCCCTTCCTGGGGGAAACTGGGAATGGGGACATGCTGCTCATTTTTGAGGGACATTTAGAATGGAACTCAGGGGCATTCTAACAGAGTTTTACTCCCAGTTCTTTTTATTTTCTATTTTGAGACAGGGCCTTGCTAAATTGCCCAGACTGGCCTCAAATTTGTGATCCTCCTGCCTCAGCCTCTGAAGCTGCTGGGATCGCAGGCATGCACCACCATGCCTGGCTTATGAGAATAACCGTGCATGCACTGTTATTGTGCCTGAATGAAGAGCACATGCGTGCACACACACTCACTAGGGTGTTCACACAGGAGTACTCTGCACCCACCAACACGCTGGCCCATGGTGGGCACTTGGCAAATCTGAGAAGGGAATATGTATAACCTCCGCTCCCGTCCGCCTGTGGGCCTGACCTCATCTGTGGTGGGCTTTTTGGGGTCTGTAGATTCCTCCTCTTCTTCATCTTCCTCCTCATCCTCACGGTCAGCAGACCCCAGGACATCAGGGCCCCGGTTCGGGACCTCCTCACCCAGAGACTTCTGGGGCTCCAGGCTGGGCTTCTCCAACCCCGCCTCCTCCCCGTTACTCAGGCCTGGGCAGCTGTCCGAGCTGGGGGACCCTGCAGAAGGCAAGGCCACAAGGGTCCAGAGGTCAAAGGGCAGAACCACACACTGATGCTCAGGAAACTCGAGGGCTGTGACCAGTGTGTGGCACTCTTAGGACAGTGTGACCCGGGGAAAGGGCAGGGGCAGGCTTCCATGGTATTAGAGCCAGAGGGGTCAGAGGTCAAGGTGAAGTCTGGAGTGTACAGAGCAGGAGGTGGACAGGATGGGTGGGGGGTGGGAAGCCAGAGTCTGGGCACAACAGCCTCACAGCAGGGGAAAAGGTGACAAGGTGAGTGGCGGGTCAGGGTCAGGCAGAGTCAGACCCAGGGTGGGGCTCAGATGAAGAGGGACCCCAGTGACAACAGGCTAAAGGTTAACTGAATTTACACCCAACTGGGTGGGCAGAGTCGGGTGGTCATAGGACAGGGGCCTGAGGGCCAGAGGTCAGAACTAAGAGCCCTAGCCTGCTCTGTGGGGGCCAAGGCTGAGGGGTCAGGAGTTGGCCACAGCCAGATGTGCCGGGGTCAGGATGAGGGTCCCAAGCCAGCGGACCTCGGTGCAGGCTGGTCACCAGGTTGGACTGGGCCAGGCTCAGCGGCATGCGAGGAAGGGCTCGGGGTCTAGGGTACCATGAGGGTTCAGAAGGAGGAGGTTAGGGTCAGGCAGGGTAAAGGCTGAGCCGCGTACCGAGCTGGGGGGACGAGGGCTCTGTGGTGGCAGAGCTCTCGCTCAGGGCGGAGTTGCTCTGCTCTAGGGGCCGCTTGCGGGTGGCGCTGTCAGGGACGCTGGTGCTGGGCCGGTGCCTCTTCTTGTTCTTCACCAGGATGCGGCCCATCAGGTCCTGGGGGCTGGGCAGGGGCACGCCCGGCGCCAGCTGGAGGGGATGGATAGGTCAGGGTCTGCTGAGGCACTCTCCCCGCCCCGCACCCCGCCTCAGCTCCAGCCGCCATACCGGGTACTTGTCCAGAGGGTCAATGAGCAGCGCGTCCCCAAAGATGGAGCGGCAGTACTCGGCCATCTTGGCCTGCTGCTTGGCCCTGTTGGCAAGGTCAGAGGTCAGAGGTGCCTTGGGGAGCTTCAGCAAGGCAGGACAGAGGCCAACAGAGAACGTACAAGTCCTCAGGTCAGAGGTCACCAGAGCACAGTGGTAGGGCCGTCTCTGGGTCCACCAGGGGTCCCCATCAGAGGTCTCCATGTTAGAGACTCCCGGGGGTCCTGGGTCAGGGGCCCACTCACGAGTCCACGTGGTTCTCGAAGGACAGGATGACGGGGTAGGGGGAGGTCTTGAAGGCGGTTTCGGCGATGGCCTCTAGCACATCCCGCAGCGGCACCTCGGTGGTCATGGTGAAACCGTGGGTGATGAAGGGCTCCTCCTCGGGAGGCCGCCCCTTCCATACGTCCAGCTCCACACAGCGGCAGCCCCACAGCAGCGCCTGGCGGTACATCTCCACCGACGAGGTTCCGGCCAGCTGTCCCGCTGGGGGTGAGGCCGTGTCACTCAGCTGCCCGCCAGTCTGGCTGCTCACCACCCCACTCCACACTGAGCCAGCTGTGCCAGGGACACAGAGGCTCCCGGAGCAGCATGGTGCAGCCCTGGGACACTCTGCAGAGCCCCTGCTCATTTCTCAAGTCACTGTGGAGCCAGCAGCACCTCCTGCACCCCTGCCCCTGGCGCCCACCCAAGTGGGCAGAGCAGGCACCCACCAGGGCTTGTGGCCAGGTTGGTCCCCATTCAAGGGCTCACTGAGATGAGTCCCTCTGAGATGGACCCTCACCCCCCACACACCCCACCAGCCTGAACCACAGCGGCCACTCCCAAACCACCTAGCTCCCCAGAGCCTCGTCCCCGCAGCCCCACCTCCTGCCTAGGGGACCACAGGCCCTCCCTGCCTGTAGCCCGGTCTCCACAGAGCACCTGGCTCAGCCTTCTGACAGCACACCACTCACACCCCCTCCCGCCGCCTGCCTCCCAAACCCTCCCCAGCCCCTCACCCCGCGCCTGCCCGGGCCCACACCCTCCCCTCCCTGGCCTCCTTCTGGCTTCTTCTTTCTCTGGCAGTGCTGGGGACAGAAGCCAGGGCCCCCTCGCATGCCAGGCAAGCGCCCTGACACCAACTCCACCAGCCCCCTCCTCTTCTTAACCACCTAGTGGTCTCTGCCCCAGGCCTCCGCAGAGGCTGTTCCTCACAGCTGGGCGGCCTCAGCCCCTCCCCGGGAAGCTTCCTGTCCTCAAGTGGGGCAGAGGGCTGTCTGCTCTCTTCCTTCCACCCAGCTGATGGCTGATGGCGGATGGCTGATGAGCGGGCAAATGAGTTGAAAGAACTGCACTTCAAGGAGGGAGGAGGTACAGGGCAGAGGGCAGAGGGCGGAGGGCCAGGAGCCCCCCTCCCTGCGCCCTGCTCCTGGCTCCCTGCTCCTGGCTCCCTGCTCTCTGCTCCCTGCTTGGGCTCCCACTCCCCACTGCTTGCAGCTGGCTGCCTGCTCCCTGCTCCCGCTGCTCACCTGTGAGGTATCTCACCTGTGAGGTACGTGTTGTGAGAGGAGTTGATGAAGTAGGAGCTCAGTGGTTGGGTCATGTCCGCGCTTAGGTCCAGGGCTTCCAGTGGCAAGATGCCATTCTCCTCCCCTCCCAGGTAGCGGCTGAAGCCTTCCATGGACATCTGGTCTGGGGGTGGGGGCGGGGGCAGGTCAGCAGGGCCCTCACCCTCCACCACCACCGTCCCCTGCCTCTCGCCACTCACCAGAGGCCACTCACCGCGCTCCAGGAACTGCTGGTTAGGCTCATACTTCTCGATGAGCAGCCGGGCCTGGGAAGGACGCAGGGGAGGGTACAGTACTTCGTTGAGTCTCGGGTCCCTCTGCTTCTGGTTGATGAAGTCCATGAGCTGCTCCAGCGTCAGGTATGGCTTGCCCTTGGCACCTCTGGAGAGGGTGGGCAGAAGCCGGATTGGGCTGGAGTCGCAACAACACCCCCACACCAGGCCCTCACCCTGGGAGAGGGAGTTGGAAGGCCTGCGCCTGGCTCAAGTACCCACAGACTGGGTCACTGGGCAAGTGGCCGACCCCTTTGGACCCCATCCACGCTCAGTGCCATCCAGGCAGAGGACGAGCGAGCACTGGCATTTTTAAGGGCACTGAGAGCTGCTCTGTATCCAGCTCACTACCCTGTACTTCCAGAGCCTGGAGCTAATCTCAGCCCACTTGCTGTGTGGGCTGACAGGTCCCACAACACACCTGGGCCATTTGGTTCTCATCTGCAGAGTGGATGAGATGAAACCAGCCCTGGCAAAGGGTTGTCACTCAGCCACCCGTAACAGCTATGGACACTGAGATTCTGAGCACTGTGAGGCGCACGCAGGTTGTCCCCCTCACCCTGGACTCTGAGGCCTAGTCCACCAGCACCACCCTCTCCTCACTGGGCTAGAGGTACGCTAGGCAGAGGCCAGACATGGGAGCTCAGGGGTGGGGAGAAGGGTCCAGCCCCGCTCACATCTCCAGCAGGATCTTGTCAATGTCCGGTCGCAGACACAACTTATTCAGAAATCGCTCGAAGATTTCCAAGGAAAACTCATCGGGCCGGATGGACTCACTCTGGGGGCAAGCAGTGGGAGGTGAGAGCTCAGGGGCAGCTAGCTCCAAAACAGTGGGGACCCAAGCAACACCCCGCCCGCTCCTGCCCCTCTCCACATACCCGGTTGAAATTGAGGCCACAGGACTCCAGTGCCGTCTCCACCCGCTTCTTGTCCGCAGAGAACATCTTCAGGATGCTGATGCAGACGGGAGGGTTCAGGGTCAGTGGGGGGCAAAGGTCACCAAGGTCAGGACAGGAGAGATGCTGAGGGGTAAGGGGTGCTCACTTCTTAACAGGGATCCGCCCATCCTGGTTCACCTGCAGCTTCAGCTTCGTGTATCTGGGGAGGTAGGGGCAGGGGTCACACCCTGTGAAAGGCCATCGGAATCCCCGATGTCCCCCAGGGCAGCCGGGACTCACGCTTTCCGCAGGAAGGTGTTCCGGGAGGCGTTTTGAGCCAGGATATTCATAGCCAGCTTGAACAGCTCCTCCGACCAGACCTGGGGGGTTGGCATACAGTGGGAGTGGGAGGAGGTGAGCAGCAGGGACAGAGAGGCGGGCCCAGCCACAGTCCACGCCCAGAGCGGGATCTGATGCACAGATCAGAAAACAGTGCAGAAGGCAGCAGCGACCCTAAGTGACAAGCAACTCAGCGAATGAGCAGGGTCTTCCGGGGGCTTCCTGGGCGCCAGCCCACCTTGACTGTGTCATCCTGTACAGCCATGAAGTTCAAGAATGTGGTGTTTACTGGGTCTGGGCCGGCCACCACCGTCATCAGCTTCTCCTCCAGTCGAGCATCAGGACCCCCAAAGCCCAACACTTCCCGGATCTTGGGGTCCTGAGTAATGAGAGCTGAGGGTGAGAAGGGCAATCCCATTCCCCTAGGCCTCCTTCCCTCGGTCCTGGGCCCTGGTACTCACCTTGGGTAGGCGGGCATAACGGCCTGTCCGCGTGTCCCTGATGGAACTGATATCCAGTGTGTCCACCTCCTGGGGAAACCAGATGCCAGGGTGGGTCTGAGAAGCTGCAGGACAAGAGAGCAGGGGCCCCCAAGCTCCCCACCCAGGCTGGAGAGTGGCCACCAGCAGCAGCCCCAGTCTCAGCCCCGACCCCTAGCACTTCCTGTGTGGATGGCTGTTTGGGAGGGGTCAGCCAGCAGCTGGTCCCAGCCCCCAGGGCGGCAGATCTGCAGGTCATGCAGGGCTGGGGTCTCCAGAGACCTAGGCCTGAATGAGCCGGAACGGCATCTGCCCTCACCATGTTGGGTCCTGTCCAGTATAAGAAGAAGCCATTGGGGTCCACCCGCAGGGTCACCAGGTTACGACTGGAGGCTTCCTAGGCACAGCACAGAACAGGGGTCAGGGAGTAAGGTCTGAGGGAGCTGTCCACCCGGCTTTCTGCCAGTGAGCTAAGAGGAAACCTTGAAGCCCTCAGGTCCTCCGTGGCTGCTACAGCCCCTAAAACAAAGCCAAGGCCCTCAGTGTGACCGTCAGTGTTTTGGCTCCCGTGCCCCTCCCAGCCTCGCTTCCCTTCCCTAGGACCCAGTCACATGGGCCCCTAGCTGCCCTTTCCTCCTCGCCCGGCTCCTGCCTCGTCGTTCCTTCTTTCTCTACCCATGGGATCCCACCCACTTGCTGGGAGGCCTCTCCGACCCCGCCCTGGGACTGGCTTCCCCAGGAGGCCACAGCTCCAGGACAGGGGGCCTTGCCCCCCAGTTGAATCTACTATGAAATGTTGATGGGAGGAGAGCTGGGGACTCAGCAGTCTGATCCTGTGGCTCCCCTGCATCCCTTGGGGACCCGTGATGCCTGGCCTGCCACCCCTCACTGTGTCTCAAAGTCCAGCATGTGCCACCCTGAACCTTACAGGAAATCCTCACAGCCTTCAGATTTGTCCCCTTCTTACAAAAACACGAGTCCCCCCTGCAGGACTAGCCAGGGAACATGGAAGAGCGAGTGCATCAGTCCCATTTTCTGAGGAGGACCCAGTCCCTGGCACACTACCAGCGCCACCTCATGTGACTCAGGACCAGCAGCCAGGGGGTGTCATCAAGGGCTTAGAATCAGCCAGGGTGGAGGGGCCAGGTGGCCACAGGAAAAACTCCTCTGCAGCTAGAGGATTCCCACCCCATCCGAACTGCAGTCTGATGGACAATCCCCTCGGAGAAGACAAGGTGGCCCACATTCTGGCTGCTCCACTGGATGCACACAATGACTCCAAGCCCACTCAGCCCCTGACCACCCTGTGAGGACACACTGTTGTCATCCCCATTTTACACATGAGGAAACTGAGGCACAGGGAGGCTAAGGCTTTGCTCAAGGTCACAAAGAGGAGCCAGGATTTGCCGGCAGTGAAGTTCCAGGGCCCACTGACCTGGGAAGCTGGGTTCCAGGTCCCCTGCTCCCAGCTCCTAACCATAGCCATAACCCACAGTGGGGCCTGGCTAGTCCTCTACTGTCCAGACCTCTGTTTCCCCTTCTGTATAATGGGAATTGCGCCAGCCCCACCCATGGCAGGCTTTGATGAAAAAGGACAGCAACTGATCTGGGGACACAGGGACAGAGGCCCCAAATCTTTGGGATGCATGGTCCTTTCATCCCAGTGTGGTGACACCCAGGTCAACCTCTCTTGGGAATTCCCAACACTGCCCTGGGGCTGCGACTCCCAGTAGTGTGAAGAGAGGGGAGCACTGCTCCAAGGGCCTCTCTGGGACCCTCCCCAGGGTCTGGCGTGTAGACATGTCCCAGGTCCCCTACTCTCCAGCTCCAAGCCCTGTCAGCAACCCCACCGCACCCCCAGGGCCCTCTCCCTGTTCCCACTTCCTTATTTGGGTTTATCACACTGGAAGGAAAAGAAGAAACTTTTCCCTTCAGGCTGGCCTAGGGGGAGGGGGGTCTCCCCCGCCAAGGGGGAGACCAGGCACCCCCACACCAGCACACCTGCCGCTCAGGCCACGCCCCCAATCCTCCCCTCGCCCCAGCTCCCACGCCTTCCCGCCCCACCCAGCCGGAAAGGAGCCCAGCGTCTTCCAGGCCTGTGGCCTCACTGGGAAGAACAGCGAGGAAGCTCTCTTGGCCGCCCGTGGAGGCCTTGGGGAAGGAGGGGCCCAGGGGGCAGAGGAGGGGGCACTATGAAAACTGTAGGTGGGGCGCAGAACCCCGATGGGGAGCCGCAGGTGGGGGCCTGGACATCTGGAAAGCACCAGGGGCAGGAATACTGAAAGGGGGGACGGAATTTATTGGGGTTCAAAGTCCCAAGACTAAGGAGTGGGGAGTAAAGTTCCCAGGGTGGAGGAACTTAGGGGGCAAATTCTCCACTAGGGGGTGACTTGATGCTCCCACCTGACCAGGGAGCTGGGCTGGGATCCAGAAGCAGGGCGAAGGGGTGCTAGCAGAGAGGGTGAAGAAGTGATGAATGAAGAGGCTTACTCAGGCCACCGCACCGGGAAGCGGGAAGTCCCAGGGGTACGCACCCAGGATAGGATGCCCTGAGCCGGCCGGGAGTCCAGGGCCGCGCAGGGGTCTGGGGACCAGGCCAGCATAGGGGAACCAGAATGGTCTGGCAGGGAGGGGTGGGAAGGGCGAATGAAAGCGGGGCGGGATTTATTGGGGTTCAAAGTCTCCGCGCCAAGGAGCGGAGACAATTTACCAGACCCAAGGGACAGGGTTGGGGGGACAAAGTCTTCAATATCAGGACGCCTGGGGACTCAAGTTTCCGGAGTCCGGACAGGCTGGGAGAGAAGGCGAAGTGGTCAGGCGAAGCTGGACTGAGGGTCCCCGGCATCTGCCTGAGCCTGAGTGAAGGAGTCCCCGGGTCTGGGCTGAGCAGGGGACCGCTGCACTTACCTCGTCCCATTTGATGAACTTACTCCCGCGCCGCAGGGTCTCCACCACGGTGGGCGGCTCCAGCTGTAGCGCGTGGACGCCGGGCCTGGCGCCCGCCATGGCCGAACCAGGGAAGGCTCGGAGACCCACGGAGCACCGACGGGGACCGACGGCGCAGCTGCTCCC